GCCGAGAAGGCGCGGCCGCGGGCGGTCTGGAGTCCCGGCCGGCGCAGCTGGGGCGCGGGGCGTGAGGCGCGGGGCAGGCCCCGGCCGGGAGGAGGACAGCGCCCGCCCAGCCTGGCGTCCCCGACTCCCCTGCGCGACCCCTGCGGCAGGACCGGGCCGGGGCGTCGGGCGAAGGCAGCAGCTGGGAGGCTGGCGCCGCGAGGTTCTTACTCTGGACTCTGCCGGCCCCAGCCCGGCACCGGGCGCCCCTCAGTTTCCCGCGGAGCCCACACCCGCCTGCCCGCACACCCCAGGCTACAGTTCGCCCTCGCCCTTCCCCGGACCTAGCGCGCCTGAGACCTGAAGGAGCCCGGGCGCTCTCGCCGGATAAATACGCGCGAGCCTGCAGACGCACGCCTGCGCGGCCTCGATGAAATCCCGGACTTCTCCCGGCTCGGCCACCCGGTTTAGAAACTCCTCTCCGCCCCGCTCAGACGGGACGCGGAGCTGGATCTGCTGCCCGCGGCCCCGAGCTGCGGCCTGCAGCCCTGCTGTTCTCCCCTCCATGTCTCCAGGCCAACCCCAATCCCGCGTCCCAGGTACGAACCCCCCTCCCCGAAGGCCGGAGAAGAGCCTGCTCCTCCCTGGGTTTCCCCTTCCAGAGCGCCGTCCAGGACCTGGGTTTTCTAGAAGCGCCTGCTTCGTGCCTTTTGTAGCTGTTCCATCTACATGCACCTGTGGTTAATGGGCGGTTGGTTGATTATAAACTCTTTAAAGATCAGTTTTCCCCTCTGCAAATCAGGTGCCTGCCATGGCCTGCCCTTGACAACAGTTGGTAAAAAGGTGGGCTGAAGGGAACGAGCTCCAGGGAGATGAACGCCCTGGCTCCAGGGCCCCAGGCCTCTCTCCTCCCCTGACGGTTCTGGCACCGACGCCCGCTCTCCGGTGCCTGGAAAACAGGATCCTCCAGGTGGCAAGATCTTCTGGTCAGTTCCTTCTCCTCTGGGCAAAGCAGCCACCAGCCACGGGCCCTGCACGAGCGAGCGGGCATGGGAGTTCAGGCAGGATGCACCGCTGAGTTGCTGCTGTTCCCCGCCCGTGTCTGTTAGCCTGCACTGCCTGTCTCTCTCCTTCCCGGCTTCGCACAACCCAGCCACAACCTCCCCTTCCCGAATCCCAAAGCGATCCAAAGGTCACTCTTCTCTCGGTTCCCAGCTCAGAACCGTCTGTCTCGCCTGAAGCCATGCGTCTCGGGGCCTGGCCTGCCTGCCTCCATCACGAGCTCGGAGTGGTCTTCACATCTGCCCTGTGTGTCCCTCTCAATTCCTGTCTCCCAATCCTAGTACCTGGGCGAAGGTATCAGGAGATGGGCTTTGGGAGGGAGTTAAATCCTGAAGGTAGAGCCGGCCCAAGTGGGATTAGCGCCTTTATAAGAAGCGACACAAGAGCTTATTCTTTCTTTCTCTGCCGTGCAAGAAAGCGAGGCTGAGGAGGTCAGCTGCAGAGCCGGAATCAGACCTTCCCAGACACAACCCCACCAGCACCTTGAGGCTGGGCTCCCTCCCCTTGGAACTGGACACGAAAATAAATGCCCGCAGTTCAAGCCACACTCTACCGTATTCTGTTACAGGGCTTGAACTTCATACCCTTCCATTCCCATATCGACCACTTCCCTAATTAAACGCTTAGTGGCTTCGTGCAGCCCTGAGGCTTAGGTCCAAAGCCCTCCCCGGGGTCACTTGCGGCAGGATCGGCTCTGGGCGGCCCCCTGGGTCTTCTGTCTCAGCAGCCTCCTTTCCCTGTCCCCTTGGCCTGTGCCAGGACTCAGCATGGCCGGCGTCCTGCTCGTCGTCCAGGTGCCCTTCCGTCTGCCGCAGCACCCTGTCGTCCTTCCCCTCCTGTGATGTTGGCCCCACACGCTGTCCTTTACTCCTGGGCTCTCTGCTTTCCCTCCCACAGTGAGACCCTTGTGATGGTGGCTTCATTGCCCAGTGCGGTACCTGGTGCCAGCTAGGAACACGTACATTTGTATTAAATGAATAAAAGCTCTGAATGTGACACGGTCTCCAGAGGAGAGGCTCTGGGGCAGCTGTGATGTGCTGCCAGATGTGATGGCCCAGACCACTGCTTTTCAGCAACAGCGTCACTGTTTTCAAGGGAATTTCAGTCTGAGTCTTCAATTTCCTTCACTGAAAGGTGGGACTGGTAGTCCTCCCGCTCTGTCTGAAGGTGTCTAGAGATGTGTTTGGCAGTATTTTGTAACTTTAAAGCTCTTTATGCATCAGTCGTGTTGCACTTGCTCACTTGACCCTCACAATAGCATTTTCAGTGGGCAGCTGACATTTCCCATTTTGCAAATGAAGGGACCAAAGAGAGACGATGGGAAGAAGTTTGCCTAAGGTCACCTCGCTGGCCACCAGGGAACAGGCTTGGTGCAGTGCTTCAAGCCCAGGCCACCACCACCACAGCGCCATTGTGCCCTCTGCCATCCCCAGTGGGAGGCAGTGTTGGGCACACTTGTGCGCGCGCACACACGCACACGCACACGCACACGCACACACTGAGATCCTGAGAATCCTGCCGCAGCGTGTGTCACCGCTTTCCACTGTGCAGGGTTTCCTGGTGCATGTGTGGGCTTGGTGGTAGAAAGCAGACTGTGTAGCAGCAGCTCCCAGGACAGGAAAGAGTGGCAAAGGAAGCAGCTGACCTCGGGGTGGACGCAATGCCTGTCTGCCCCTCTTGCGGCCTAGTGGGGTGACTTCAGTAACAACCCTTCTTTACCTTGGAGTTGGCCCTCTGCAGCCTCCAAGCTTCCCGGAAGCTGAAGATCTTCTTTCCTCCATATTTCCAATTCTGTCTGTCAGCAAACAGCTATGGAGGAGCTCTTACTGAGTGCTTTGAAAGCATGGCCAAAGTAGACTCTCGGCCCATCTCCCCATTCTGCAAAGGGCTTCATAGGCCCATGGTGAGGCTGAGGTGAGCAGTTCCCGGTGCTCTCCCTGCCACTGGTGGAGCCATCCGCCCTGCACCCCACCCTGTGTCTGTGGGTTCTGTCTGAGTGCACTGGAATATGTCAGCATTGGGAGGTGGAAGAGGAGCCGGCATAGGAAGGAAGGGGCGTGAAGGGTACAGTGCTCCCCCTGTGGCTCCCAGGGGTGTGGAGGCCGATTTGGGCTTCAGAGCTCGTTGGAGCTGTTGCAGAACAACACTCGTTTCTGGGCCCAGGCAGTGCGGTGCCCACAGAAGGCACCTACCTCAGTGGGAGGGCACGGTCCACAGAGGGTCAGAGCAGGAGGAGACGCTTGAGCAGCCGTGCTTTGGCGACCACAGCCTTGAAGGTCGAGTGAGGCTCCTTTTTGGAACCCCCCAGAACAAGCTGAGGTCACTCTGCGAATGTCGGCGAAATCATCAGATGAGACTCAACACACACAAAGAGCGCCGGTGGCACTGGGCGCATAGTCGGAACTCGGTTCAGCTCCTTTCCTAAGATGTAAGAGGTGCGCACTGAGCATGAGCACGGTGGAGTCCTCTGCTGCGGCCTTCTGAGGACCACGCTGCCTTTGCAGGACCGTGTTTGTGGCTCGCTGTGTCCCGAGCCCCAGGGAACACACCGCAGAGCTGCCCTTCACAGATCCCCCACGTGTGGTTACCTCGGGTTGCCCCTTTAAAGATTAAATCATTCTTTCTCCTTCTGTTCAACAAAGACGACAGTCCTTTGGTTTTTGATAAACGTTTCTTTGCTACTAGCAGGTGGATTTGCCCCAGGCACTGAGAGCTTGTAAAACACGCAGGAGCCCAGCTGTTTGAATCTGCTCCTTCATCCTCTGTTTCTCTTATCTCCTGCCCATGGGCTGGGCTCCCTCTACCTTGGAAGCTGATAGCATGTGGATGCGAGAGGTGGCTCTCATTAATGGACTAATTAGGGACACACGCCTTTAATAGCTGATTACAGGAAAGCCATGCCCCACCCCAGCCCATTGATTTATTCATTGCTGTTGTACTGCATTATGGTAAAATCATCAGCTCTAATTATCTATTGGCTGGTTTAGTGGGGCCTGTCTCTCCTCTTGCTTTTCATCTCCCCTTGGCTGACGGTGAGCACAGAATGGGGGAATGCAGACCAACTAGTAAACGGCTCTGGGCAGATGTGAGGATCTTGGAGCCACCCCACCCCAAGAGTTCAGAGATAAAAAGGGAATGGAGGGCCGGGAATCTAGCTCAGTGGTTCCACCCTCTGCCCTGCAAGCACAAGGACCCGAGTTTGTTCCCAGGTACCAAAAAAACCCAACAAA